ACTAAGCTCTGGTTCTGCCCTGTCTCAATATGAAAGTTGATTACTTCTCTAATTCCTGTATGTCTAGCTGATATTTCACATTTTACATAGGGATGTTAATCCACAATTTTTATGGAATTGCTGTATTTTGGCAGTTCTGTTGATATTAAACAAAACACATCTGGACAAATTGTGAAGGCAGATTGGTGTGTCAGAATAAACTTCAACAAATCCTGCCTTCAGTTTCAAATATATGCATTTGCACAGATGAAAAGGGCTTTTCAGGCCAGCAAAGTGTAATCATATAAGCATACATTTAAAAAACAAAAAGAATAAGGTTGAATTGTTTTTCAGAAATGGTCTCATTTAGTATACGGTGACTGATTTGAAAACTAGACTAAAAGGCTACAATAACCATTCGGCATTAGTGACCTATTTTCCATCTCCATATATTATATTAAAAGTAATTAAAATTGGGTCACTAGAAAACATTATTAGGTAGTGGTTGCACTAAGGTCCCTTCATGTGCTACTTGATTTGCCCCATTATGGGTTGCTCATAATTTGCCAGAATATAACATATGTCAGCTTGGTTTTTGTCTTTATCCATTGCTGGCACTAAATTGTTCAATTTTATAAATTCCATTATTTTTGGAAAACAAATGAACAAGCCTAGGTTCTCATGATAATGTAAATTGGAAAAATATTAATATATGCAAGATTTCTAAAGGTATGAAGACAACTTTCCAAATCTAAACATCTAAACAAGATCTACCCCCACCATTTAAGTAATTATAAATTTAAACAGCATGATTGTATGAACTAGATTAGGGTTTTCATTTATATTCATTCTCCTGAGAGTCCTAAAATCAGCCTGACTCTACCTGACCTTGTGGGGATTGTGAAGTACCTGGAGAACAAGCCATCTTGAATGTCTTCATATGATATAGGCTAAATGGTGCCTTGGAACATCTGTTCCTGGAGCTCCTCCAGCGGAGATTTCTTTCTATAATAGAAAAGCTTTGTGAAACAGTCTTTGGGAACCATCTATCTGATGTGATCTCCTCTCAGAAGGAGGAGAAATATTTGCTATTTTGGCCTTGCAAATCAAATGGGCCATTAATAATCATTAAGCAGTCACCACCACAGAGAAAGGCAATTCCAGAAAAGGCCTTTTCCCACAATGCCTCATTTTGTCACATTGCAAAGGATTTATAGGATAGGCTATTTGTGTGGGGGGCTTATTTGCCTTTTTGTGGGGAGAGGAAAATGTGAAAGATTAGTCATTCTTTTAATGACTGTGGTGGAGCAGTTAAGGCCTTTCAAGGGGATATCAGAACTTTTGGAAGACAAGGTATATACATTTTATCAAAGAGACTCAATATACTTAATGGTATTTTAAAGAGAATTTCTTTAACTGTTGAAAGGGATTTTAATGATCTGTCTTACTGCAAATGATTATTTACTGAGGTGTGAGTCTAAGGTCTATCTCCAGAAGTCTTTGGTTCTCTTTAATTGGTATTTTGAGATTTGTAAGAGTGTTGCTTTAGTGTGCTTTGTATATTTAATCAAAGACTAGGAGTGGAATTTTCATAGGATCCTAAGTGCCTTTAAGATATGTCCTATTTTCCTCAGGATCTATGCTCCAAAAATTCTATGATGCTTTGTGGAAACTAATATGCCCTAATGAAAATATATAGAAACTAGATTGATTCCAGTCTGCTAAGAGACTGAATCTGCACCTAAGAAATGGCATATGATGGGATTCCAAAAGACTATGCCTACGTCTCTCCACACAACTTCTCAGGTCTCTCCCTGGGATATGCCTCCCCGCTGCCTTGAACTATTCCCAACATTTTGGGAAGAGATCTCCTCAGCTTCTTGAGCAGACATGGGTAGTGTGGCTCTCCAGATGTCACTGACCTGCAACTCTCTCTGTCCCTTGACCATGCTGCCTGGGCTACTTATAGTCCAAGAACATATGGAGGGCTGTCCTAGAGGCTCAAGCAGCCTTAGCTGCTGCAGTCAGAACCAGGAATCAGACAAGTTTCAATAAGTTGCAGAATAGCTTGGCTACACACAGGGCGCTTTTTTGAATGCCTTGCTTTTGTTTTGTTTCGCTTTTTATTTATTTATTTATTTATTTTTGGTAGTAGTTTGCTTATAACTAGAAGCCTGTAACTTTGTTTGATAGACTTTTCTAACCAATGTAAGTCTGGAATTTTAATATTCTCCAATATATATTATAGTGTTTCTTAGCTGCTTTTGGAACTTGTTCAGACATAACATTCCCAGTTTCTTATCCACAGTTTAGAGAAGCCATTCTATCCTGTGTTTTCCAGATATATTAGACTACAAGTCCGCTCTTCTGCAAGCAGCATGGCCATTTTAGCAATTGGAAGTATGCTCCCTTCCCTGAGCCCCCTTTTCTCTCTTTGGCTTTAACCCTTCTTAAAACTAAATAACACGGATTGTAGCGCTTGAACTTGAAGCTTTGGACAATGACTGAAAGTCTTGGTTAGGAGGCAAGAATGGCTAGAGGAGGCTGAACCTACATCCAGGTTCACTGACAGGATAATGTCAGTGTCACAATAAGGCCAACAGCCAACAGCCAATGGGGGACAGAATAAGCCTATGCAATCCCATGAATGCTTTTGGCAAAGCCCAGTTTAGATGTTCATGAGCGTGTATGCGTGCTGAGAGGCCTCTGGGTGGACTTTCCCAATCTCCTTGAGTTCAGATCTTCCTGTGTTGATCCAGCATGCTCTGAAAAAGTATTCGGTTTGCACTAACCTGTACATGAGCGGAAATCAACATGACTAGGAACTCTCTTTCAGATCGTGATGGTTCAAACATGACAAGGTCTGAACTAAGGGGACAGGGTGGCATCTCTGGATATGTACGGGTGGGGCCAGTGTACACAGCCCCATCCCTGGGTACTTTCTTTTGCCCTACCTGTTCTCCTGAATGCTTGAATGGGGCTTATGAGATCCAGTGTAGTATGACTGTTCTGGCACTTAAACTAGACTTGGAAATCTCAAAAATAATCTCCTTTCTTTTGTTCTCTTTAACTGAGACAGTATCTTATATAAAACTAATAAAAGTTTTATGTTCTTTGAATTTTAAAAAAGGGAGTTTTACACTGTTACATTCACTTCGCACAATACAATTGTGCTCTAACAAACAACTGTGTTGACTAGGTATATCTGTGTAGGCCTTAAAAACAACACAGTAATAAAAATAGTTTCCTTATCATACTAAATAAACTTCTTTTGTTATTGTAATTCTGAATTTCTGTCTTTTAATACATTATTTTTGCCAGAATTCAAGAATTCAGAATTACCACATAATTATCCAAAACAGGCACTGTATCATGGTACACTCTCCTTTCTGTTTCTAGTAAGAATCTGTTGTGCAGAAAAGTACACATCAAGCAATAATTGTTCTTGGTTACTGATTCAGATCATGTTGCTGTGTAGTGGTTAATTAATACAGGTATCATTTTCTGTAATAATTCAGTAGTATAAATAAACTATACCAAGCTTGTATCCATTGTTAGTTTGTTTAATTTCATATTATTTTTGATAGCATAGATTCTTTCTTTGGTATCTAGCAGCACAACTCAATATATGTTTACTGAAAAGTAAACACTTTATTTCATAGGCCTTACTGACAGACACATGTACTTAGTCCCATATTATAATAAAGTCTGCTATGTTCCAGAAATTGTCTTATTTCTATAATTGGCCTTCATAGCTAAGTTGTGATTAATGGTAATATAAGTTCCTTCTGTTCACAGAATCCCAATTAATGGAAAATAAAAAGTTACTCTGCCCCGTATCACTTTTTCTTTTTGCAAAGCTTTCAATCTTGACTGTCATCCTTTTCTGAGGATTTGGTAGAATTCAGAAAAGGAAGCTTATGAGGCACACCTTCTTGTCTATTTTAATAAAGAATTTCTAAGTCTTCTACTTCTTACCTAAGATACTCTGAAACAAAAATCAGACAACTTGCATACCTGGCTCCTAAGAAGAATCCGACTGAGGAGTGCTGAACCCTTTTTCTTATATTTTTATTGGTTAGAAAGGTGAATCTACCCAACCAAAAACGTGTTCCCTGGAAATGGGAACAAAATACTTTTTAGATAGCTCATTAATTTTTGTATCAATGTTCATTTTCATGGCATTACATTATGACCTGATTTACTGCAGCGACTTTTAAGTTAAATAGAAACCAGTGTGTACACAGTTGAAGAAACACCAGTTATTTCACATTTCCACAAAAGTTGAAAAATAAAACTGCTAGTGACTTAATTGAAAAAACACTATATTAAATGGACATTTAGTGAACGTCTCATAATTTAACACCAAGTGTGTCTGCATATTAAAAAGGTTTTATATAGGTTGTCTATATTAATCTGCCAGTCTCTATAGTTTTTATCAAGTCAGCTAAAGTACACAACATCCAAGTCTCAAAGAACCAAAGTATTTATTTCGTCCCTTGTCTAAATGAAAGTATAGGTTCAAATTTTCAAAAGGGAAGGATCTTCATATTGCATTGCCAAGAGCACCTGCATACATGTGGCCATATTCATATGAGAAGCAAGTGACTAATATGAAGCAGACAAATACAGCACACACACATATAAATGGTTAATATATGTGCAGACATAACCATTTGCTCCTACATGTATTTGGTTGAACCCGTAGCACTGATAATTGCAATAAATTGTGACAAATACAGCCATAACTTCTGCAGGAATTTTTGGCATGCAACTCTTTAAGCTAAATATTTTGAAAACTGGTCAACTAGCTGCTTCAACAGCTATGCGTAAGGCAGTTTTATGAAAATAATTGTTAAGAGAACATTGAGAGTGGTTGTCAGCATGGAGTAGAGAGATTTAGCACAATGACTTCTAGTAGCCTTAATAAAAGTCGCACTGCTAAATCTCATCATACCACACTGAAAGATTAACCCAAAATTCACACGATGTTTACTTTTTATTAAGACTCTGTTCATTACCACTTTCTTCCTCCTCCTCCTCCTCATCTTCCTCCTCCTCCTCTTCCTCCTCCTCTACTTCATCTGCTTCCTCTTCCTCCTCCTCCTCCTCTTCAACCTCCTCTTCCTCTTCCCGATCTTCTACTTCATCTTCCTCATCTTCCTCATCATCCCCTTGTTCCTCATTATCATCAGAATATTCTTCTTCCTCCTCCTCTTCCTCCTCCTCTTCTTCCTTGTCATCCATTTCCTCAGTTCCATCTGTTTCATAACACTCATCTACTGAAGAGTTGTCTGCTTTAACTACAAAAGGTTTTCTTTTGGGTGCAGGTTCTTGGGGCTGCTTCTCTTGTGTCTTTCTTTTTTTTGCCAAAGGACAGCCATAAACACTGTTCAGAAAAAGAAGGCATACATGTTACTACAACATCTGCCAGATTACCAATGCAGGGAGGATAAAAAAATGTGTTTTGATGCAATTGATTGCTTTCCTTCAAACATTCCTTTCCCCAACAAAGTCAGTCTTAAATACGATTGTGAAAGAGATGCAAACAACTATTTAGAAATGTAACTGAAACAAACATTCAGAACTTATTATTGAATTTATTTATCAGGTTTCTATCCTGGCCCTTTAGCCAAATTATTGAAATAATACATGGAATTATTATTTTTTCCACTAGAATAAATGGGAAAAGTTTCATAGAAGTGGAAATTATGCCATTGTGCTTTCCTGGTGTCCCTGCTCATTAACTAATATTACAGTAAGCAGTAAGTAGGCACTCTAGTGAGTGCCATCACAGTTAGAATCATGGAATCATAGCATAGTTGAGTCGGAAGGAGCCTGTAAGTCCACTGAGTCCAACCCCTGCTCAATGCAGGACTCCAAATTCAAGTGTCCCTGACAGAGGGCTGTCCAAACACCTCTTGAATGCCTCCACTGTGGGAGAGCCAACAAACTTTCTAGGCAATTGGTTCCATTGCTGTTCTGCTTTAACAGCTGGGAAGCTTTTCCTGCTGCCCAGCCAGAATCTGGCTTCCTATAATTTGAGCCTATTATTCTGTGTGCTGTGCTCTGGGATGTCTGAGAAGAGATCCTGGCACTCCTCAGTATGGCATCCTTTCAAGTATTTGAAAAATGCGATAATATCTCCCCTCAATCTCCTCAGGTCTAAACATGCCAGCTCTTTCAGTTTGTCCTCATAGGGCTTTGTTTCCAGTCCCTTGATCATCTTTTTTGCTCTTCTCTGAACTTGTTCCAGTTTGTGTGCATCTTTCTTGAAGTGCGGTGCCCCAAACTGGACACAACACCCAAGATAGGGCCTAAGTAGTACTGAACAGAGGGGAACGCATGTGACCTTTCAGACTCCTCCTACTCCCCCCACAATTACAATACGCATCTATTATAAACACAGCAGAGATATGATCACTCATGTGTGCTGACAGAGCAAGAACTGCGTTTTAAAAAACCAAAATGCCAGCATAGTGGTGCACTGTAGACAAAAGGAGTTCCAGTGAAGACTCAGCAAAGTTCCAAGGGTGCTTCCAGAGGACATCCGGCACTAAATCGTAAAGCCATTGCACAGTTGTTCAGATGTTGACTTTAGCTAATTCTCCTCTTGCACAAAATTTGGAACCTACCTTCCATTATAACAACATCATTAGCACTATTAATGCCAATATGGGCTGCATGGTAATATAATCTAATGTTAATAATATGCTCTGTGTTAACATGTGTGTGTGTGTGTGTGTGTATAATTAGTGTTATGGATATTTGTACATTTTATTCAAAACTTGTAATGTGTCCATTTTGTTCCATTTTTCTTTCTTTAATTGTCCGGGGTTTTTTAACGCACAATAAAAAGTCATTTGCAGTAGTGAGATGGCACAATTAGGTACTGCCCTTGATCATCAGTGCCTAAAATTTCCTCAACAGTAGGCTATAGACCAGATGTCTCAAACTCGCGGCCCGCGGGCAAATTGCCGGGCCGAGCGGGGCACGGGGGAGGGGCCCTGCGGCCTTCAAAGCGCCAGTGGTGGCGCCCGGGCCGGCCTCCGGATGAGCGGCCCACCACCACCGCGGGGGTGGAGTACTTGATGCGGCCCAGCCTCACCCAGACTCTACTTCCAGCGGCCCCCGGGTCAGCTGAGTTTGAGACCCCTGCTATAGACAAAGGATATAGCTCCCTGTATTTCTAAAGACTTCTTGTCATGATAAATGGGCTTGCTCCAAAATGTGTTGTGTGGACCAGGGCCAGTCCATACCGTTTTGCTACCTGAAGTGAAGCACCCCTCCCTTCCACTCCATGTACCAGAATATAACTGGAAAAGCAGCTTTATTGTCCTTCAACACTGGTGATAGGCTAGTGTCTTCCCCTACAGCTGAGGAGGCTGGCAAGTTTAGGGGACCAAGGCCAGGCTACATGGCGTAGAAAGCTGTATCCTTGAACATAGGGAGCGGCTGGCAACTTAGCAGAAATAGCTGCCACTTTCCACTAGCATTTGCTGCCTGAGGTGGTTGGCTAATTCTGCCTGATGGTAGGGCCAGCCCTGGGCAAGACTTTCTTCGTATGCACATCTTGTTCAAGGAGGCACTTTTTGAAATTGCAAGTAGCTGGGTTGTAGTTTGACCTTAGAAATGAATAGCTTTCACATTACACTGTATATTTCAGTCCCAATGTACAAATTGGCTTTCTGACCTGTGTCCTGATAGCAAAATAAACACTCATGCTGCACTTGACATTATGTAAATAGAGGCTCAGGAAGGGTTAAGCTAAATTCTAAGGGATCAGCTGAATCTCAGCTGCCAAAGCTGAGCAAGTGATTCAGACTCCCAGGTTGTCACTGAAGGTGCATGCAAGGATGCCCACCACTGGCCTTGAACCGTAATGGTGTGAGTTGCCAGCAGCTGGGAAAGTGGTGGCCTCTTGGATTGGCAGGCTGGCATCATTCCACTTGCCAGCAGAGGGGGTTAAAAAAACCTCCTGGCTAGAGGGAATCTTTTGCCTCCTGCTGAGTTTTGACCAGGTGCAAGTTTTGCTCCCTGACCTGCTGTAGGTGAAGAATAGCTTAGGGCTAGCTTTAATATTTCACTTCTGTGGTGGAACAAGGAATTTGCATGTGTGGGGCTACCCATTGTCCTTTACTAATACTGTTTGAATCTCCTGTTATCCATCTGCTCCTGCCCCTTTTCTTTCTGTATGCCATTTCTTTTTCCCTTTCTTAATAAGTGCTTTAATAATTTTTCTTTAATCTGATTTGGTACTTGGTTGAGTTGTGGGGCTAAATCTGGTACCTTAGCCGCAGGGCTGTGTCTGCTCTTTGGGAAGAGGTCCAGCAATGGTGGGACAAAGAAGGGGTATTCTCAGGCATACTGTTACATGTTATTTTCAAAGAGAAATGTCTGCATGTGAAGTTGCTCCAGTATTTTTATTAGGAATCTGAAGAGAGGCAGTCATTAAAAGAATTAGGGCCTGACAACTCATTTACAACTAAAGACTAAAAATCTGGATTTTTTTTTCTGTTCATTGGGTCAAAATGACACATACTGTGCAACTGATGAGCTTAATGATCAAGACCAGGCAGATATGTGAAGCAGAAAATCAAATTAATTCTGGTAGCAGTTTAAAAAATTGAAAGGGATACATAGTGCAAGAAAAGAGGAATAAGTTCATATTGAAGGCAGAATTGGTGGCATGTGTACATGCTGCATTGTATGCACCACAGGATACCAAAAGCATGCAAAAAGTTTTTTTCCCCTCCTTCAGGATTGCATATGCTTAAGAAAACATATATTCAGCTTTTAAATTTTCCATGGGCATGAGAAAGAGCCATTTGGGTGCAATGGAATTGTTAAGAAACGGAAGAAGCTGAAAACAAAGTTGGTGCCTATTAAGTTGGCAATGTTCCCATTCTGGCATTCAAATGAACCTGCAAAGCAGAGTGAGTGCAACTGCATACATTAGTCCCTGCATGTGGAGGGAACACCAGACCTTTGTGTGTTCTGCACGAAGATATGAAGAGATTTCCTCACTTGTTTTGGCGCAAGAGGGCTCTATACTATCAGGGTATTGGCAGTCATGGGGCGGGGTCCTCTGAGCAGTTTCACTGGAGTACGGATATTGTACCCTTCATGCTTTCATGCCCAGTGTCCAAAGGTCTGAAGTGCCATATCGTGAGGACAGAGATGGGGAAGCAAGGCTGGAGTATGTGTGATGACATTGCTCTCTCTATGCGTTGCTTGGGATTCCTTGAGAGGAATAATGCCTTCATGTTATCAATACATTCGAGAGAAAAGTATTCAGATACATTTCTTCACAGAGCTCTTGCAGTCTCTTGCTTTTTGCATGTGTCGCAGACAGGCTAACCCCCCCTTACTGCCACCACCACAAACACCTCTGGATTTTCTGGATTTAAGATTAAATTTGTTAGTCTTTAGAACAGAGCAATTATTTTGCTTCTGTGAGTTGCTTGCTCATTCTGATTTTTCAGGCTATGCTATTTAATAATCTCTGTGGTCACAATATCTAAGCTGATTATTATCAATAGAAAACATTGTGTTCTTAATGAAATAATGACTAATTCCTATGTTATATTTTAACAATGTGTTTTAAAAGAATGTTTTAAACACTTCTTAGAGTAACAAATTAAAAGACACAGTATCATTTATTTTAATAATTAAAGCCACTTTGTCGGGAAATGTGAATTTCAGTTCCAAAAACCACTTTCCAAACAGGTAGCTTTTTGCAACTAATTTTTCATTAATTTTCCACTTCATTAACTTATGATGGTTTTTAAGGTTGTTGCCCACACTTTGCCTATGATTTTTCTTTCTGAGCCACTTTTCTGTGTCATGCACCATAGTATAAATACATGCTACATTGCCTAAGATGTTACTGACTGTAGCATATGTCACTTCTGAAAGCAGAGTTACAGGTCCTATTCTCAAAGGAAGGAGGATGGCTGATCAGGGGAACACGTTGGGCGGTATGCAGTCCTGCTGCTCCATGGGTTCCTCCATGGTTATGGGACCCACTTCTTGCAGACCGGACTAGTGGTTCTCAAAAGAACCCCAGAAATGCTCATTGCTAATCAATGCTCAATGTTAATCTTATAAGCTGTCCTGAGATGCGATAGTGAAGGACGGCATATAAGTGTTTTAAATAAAGAAAGAAAGAAATTTCCGGATTGGGATAGGGTCAGGGTTAGGGCAGAATTTTGTCGTGTAGGTATGGCTGACATTCCTCTTGTTTGCAGCTGCTCTGGGGATCACAAGGTTTCCACTGCGCTAGCACGACGGCAGCACAGGTTAGTGCCCCATGACTGTTGTCAAACTTGGAAGGCATCTGATATAATTCTACTTGGCATTATAGAATTAGAATGTAATTAGAGATTT